AGCACGACTTTCTTGCCTTTTATAAAAATGACTTTGCCAAATGACTGTGAAGACAACTGCACAACTATACAAATTTACTTAAAATCATCAAACTGTTCACTTGCAATGGATGAACTTTATACGTATATTATACCTTGCTAACGCTATTTTAAAAAATACTTTGCACCTCAGTATGCATCCCTAAGCACTATGTCTTAATTGTGTCTGTTTGAATTCCATATAAAGGAAGTAATACAGTACAAATCCTTTAGTGTCTATTTGTTTCACTCAGCATAATGTTTGTGAAATTCACGTTGTTGCATGTGACTTTAGTCCATTCGTTTTCACTGCTGCTTTAGATTCCATTGTATAATTATGCCAACCTATTTACCCATTCTATGTTGATGGACATGTTTCCAATTTTTTGCTATTTGAATGTTTACTATGCACATTCTTTTACAGGTCACTTCTGGCATATGTGCATGCACTTCTGTTGAGTATACACCAAGAGCAGAATTGCAAATTGTATTTCTAATCAAAAGCTCTGACAAAGAAAGCATGACCTAGAATGTATGGTGCCGGCTTACCTGTTCAATTTTATTAACTACTACACTTCAGCCAAATTGGCTTTCAGTTCTGTTTATCCCCTCTATGTGGAATAGTTTCCCTTACCCTTTGCTTAGTTAACTTTTATCTGTAAGATTTCAGATTAAGCATCAATGCCTCAGGAAAGGCTTCTCTTATATACTGGCTTAGCACCACATGCCTCTTTTTCTCAATTGTTTCAACAGTTTTACAATTTGCTTGTGAAATTAATTGGCCTGTCTCCCCAGCAATAAACTCATTAAGGTCAAGGTTTGTGGAGGGGATCGTAGGAGGGTTTCTTTTTTGCCTATCATTGTATCCCTGCACTCAGCACATACCTGGCACATTTAGGAAGGGGTCTATAAATACTTGATGAATATCTGTTATCCTTTCATATTCAGGATACCAAATTCAAATGCTGTTTCTTCTCTCAATGTTTTATTCCTTTGGCCACCACCAGTACCATCCTCTAAAAATAAAATCATATTTGGTAAAAGATTTGGTTAAGTCCCCCCTAAAAAAGATGGAATATGAGGGACTTGGCCTATCATAAACAGGAGTATTTTTTACTGTTTTCTGTGGAGAGACTATAATTATCATAACAAGTAATTCTCTATAAGAATTACAAAACACATGGGTTGTCTCTTTCAAATGGTGCTTACTATTTAAGAGATACTTTATATAAACAACTTATGAATTCCACAAAAGTAGGATCATTATAGAGTGCGAATGTAGGATTTTAATCACCTATTCTTCAACAAGTGCTTATTATATGAATAGCAGAAATCTGCATTTATATTATCTTTTTCTTTTTATCACCAGATGACAAATTTCTCCCCAAATCAGTCATTTCTCCCCAAATCAGTAATTTCACTTGCCCTTGTGTAAATATTTTGGTAAGCTTTTTTTTGCTTGTTTTTTTTTTTTTTTTTTTGAGACATGATCGTCGCTTGTTGTCCCCGGATTAGAGTGAGTGCCGTGGCGTCAGCCTAGCTCACAGCAACCTCAAACTCCTGGGCTTGAGTGATCCTTCTGCCTCAGCCTCCCGAGTAGCTGGGACTACAGGCATGCGCCACCATGCCCGGCTAATTTTTTATATATATATCAGTTGGCCAATTAATTCTTTCTATTTATAGTAGAGAGGGTCTCGCTCTTGCTCAGGCTGGTTTTGAACTCCTGACCTTGAGCAATCCGCCCGCCTCGGCTTGCTTGTTTTTTAATAAAAATTGCTCAGTGGCAACTATCATAGAAAAACTAAGGGTTTTATTCTTGATAAACTTACTTAGATATTCTATATTAAAAGGATACTTGCTTTTTTCATAAGTATTAACAACTTTTATATACTAATTATATGCTAAATTCAAATATCTTATAAAAATATTCCACTTTTTATATTAATATCCAATTTAAAATAATCTCAGTGATTGTATTAGTATAGCACTGATCTCTTTGGAAGGATGTTTAAGGAATTTTTTTCAAGCACTTAGAAACTATAAACCAAATATTCTTCATAGTAAAAACTTGCAAGTATCTTGCTGAAAAGTTGAAACCAGGGTACTGCAATATAAAATGTAGAACAGGGAAATATTTCACTACTGCCATCTTGATCTTCCCTACATTCTTTCTCTAACTTAACCTCAGAACTGCAACTTTAGCATATGAAAAGAATTTTAAAAGGAAACTTACCCTAAGTTTCATGTTAATAAAACATGCCTTCTACTGGGAACATTCTCCTAACCATTTCTTTTTATACCACTCATGCACTCCGAAAAGACACAGTAGGGTCTAAATTTTACACAGGTTTGTTATAAAGAAAATATATTCACAAGTAGGACTTTCTTCAGAAAGTATATATATATATATATATATTTTTTTTTTTTTTTTTTTTGAGACAGAGTCTCGCTTTCTTGCCTAGGCTAGAGTGAGTGCCGTGGCGTCAGCCTAGCTCACAGCAACCTCAAACTCCTGGGCTCAAGCAATCCTACTGCCTCAGCCTCCCGAGTTGCTGGGACTACAGGCACAAGCCACCATGCCCGGCTAATTTTTTCTATATATATATTAGTTGGCCAATTGATTTCTATTTATATAGTAGAGACGGGGTCTCGCTCAGGCTGGTTTTGAACTCCTGACCTTGAGCAATCCGCCCGCCTCGGCCTCCCAGAGTGCTAGGATTACAAGCGTGAGCCACTGCGCCTGGCCCAGAAAGTATATTTTTAAGTAGAAAGATATAAGACTGTCTAGCCTTTTTGATGTCAAAGTCGTATTTTAGGGATTTACTCAAAAAGTGTCAGCAGATCCTCAAACATACAAAATGCTGCTAGGAATTTACAGTTGACCCTTGACCAACACAAGTCCCAACTGCACAGGTCCATTTATAAGTGAATTGTTTTTTTTCAACCCAACTAGGATAAAAATACAGTATTTGCAAGATGTGATACCTGAGTATGTGGAGGGCTGCCTTTTTGTATATCTAATCGGGTTTCACAGGGCCAAATGTAGGACTTGAGTATGCACGAATTTTGGTATTGGGGAAGTGGTCCTGGAGCCAATCCCCCATGTATACCTAGGGACAACAAATGTATACAAATGAGCAACACAGCACTTGTAAATCAGTTTTTAAAGGTATACTAAAACATAGTATAAGGGTCAAGGGTTCAATTAAGAAACCATTTACGAAGGGGGGATAATAAAACAATATTACTTTGTTTACATATGTCAGTGCAGAGAATCACTGAGGGTGAATTTTAGCTCTGCTAAGACTTGTTTCAGAATGCTAAGCCACACAATCTTAAAGAATTGTATGGAAGTAATTTTTTTTTTTTTTTGAGATACAGTCTCACTTTGTTGCCCAGGCTAGAGTACAGTAGCATCAGCCTTCCTTACAGCAACCTCAACTGAGCTCAGGCAATGCTCCAGCCTCAGCCTCCCCAGTAGCTGGGACTACAGGCATGCGCCACCATACCAGGCTAATTCTTCTATTTTTAGGAGAGATGGGGGTCTCACTCTTGCTCAGGCTGGTCTCAAACTCCTGACCTCAAGCAAGCCTCCTGCCTCGGCCTCCTAGAGTGCTAAGGTTTATAGGCAAGAGCCACCACACCTGGCCAAGATATTATTTTAAAGCAAAAGTATCACAATTCCCTAAAACTGAAAACTAGCTAAAATGAAAACCAATAAATTTTTTTTAAAAATCATTTAAAAATATTCAACTAGTTTTGTTGACTATGAAAAATATTGTTTTTATTGGGTCTTAGAAGCATTATCTTATTCAATGTTTTATTATATCAAAATTTTGAAAAATGACTAAAATTTAAACAATATTTAAACAAAAATATCTACTTTATATTTGAAGTTAATGTAAATTTTCACTAATTTAGAACTCTATATTAAGACAGGTTGAGTATCTCTTATTTGAAGTGCTCGGAACAAGAAGTTTTCAGATTTCAGATTTTTTTTTCAGATTTTTGAAAATTGGTAGAATACGTAGTGGTTGAGCACCCCTAAGCCAAAAATCTAAAATACAAAATGCTCCTTTGAGTGTAATATTGGCACTCAAAATTTTTCAGATTTTGGAGCTTTTCACATTTCAGCTTAGGTATGTATGGTCAATACTCATGTGAATATATGGGGAATTCCTGGAAACGGACACATTATATATGAAACTGTCTTAGAGTCCTTAGAAATAAGGTTTTATGATGGTTCAAAACTTTACAAATCTTCCTAAACTGCTTTTTAATATAATGCTTAATTATATATAGACTTTGATTTTTAATAAAAATTTCAATTATTTTATAATCAATTTGAAGCAAAATTAAAGTCTCATAATTCTTTTCTGGAAGATTATCATTTATCAGGAGTACTGTACTACAACTGGTGACACTTAACACACACACAACCAGAAGAGACAAAGGATATATAGATATCTGGCTAGTTCTGTTTTAAAAATACTAATAAACTAATAATTAGGTTGGAAATCATGATTTAAAAATCAGCATGATTTAGAAAATATTATAATGTAAAAATCCAGGAGACAGCATTGTTATGGTCATCTTACCATTATTAACTATAGCAATACTGTGTTTTATACATATATACAAATTATGATATTTTTTTCTTTTGAGACAAGGTCTTGCTTTGTCACCCAGAATAGAGTGCAGTGGCATCATCAATAGCTCACTGCAACCCCAAACTCCTGGGCTCAACTAAGAAGCTGAGACTATAGGAACATGCCATCATGCCCAGCTAATTTTTATTTTTTGTAGACACGGGGTTGGCTACGTGGTCCAGGCTGGTCTTGAAGTCCTGGAGTCAAGTGATCTTCCTGCCTTGGCCTCCCAAAGTGCTAGAATTACAGGTATGAACCACTGTACCTGGCCAATTTTTAAATACCTTTTTTAGAACACAAATACTTCATTTTATATCATTAGGAATAAACATGATCCATATAAATGAATTTTTTATTCACACCTTAAAGCAATGACAGTTTTAAAAAATCAAACCATTTTTGATAGAGGTGGTCCCAAAACACCTTGATTTATTGCTTGGCAAAATTCGACCCCCTGGTCCTGACCCCCAAGCTTTTTGGGAAAGATTCCAGGGTCAACAATATGAACATCAAATATAGTACTCTATTGTAACAAAGTATTGACCTTAGGAATTTCTGAAGTATAACAAATGTTTACAGTTGCTGCTTCTATAGCCACAGATCTTTCCTTATTACTTCATATTATTTTATGTTCTAGAAGTGGTATGCCTATGGTGCTTCTGTTTTCCTAGGCCTGTTTTTAAACAAGTCAATATGTGTAATTTTCTACATTATTCTCATTCAAAGGTACTCTCCACTTTTCCTGCAGCTTAAAGTAAGTTTTTCTTTCTTTTCCTTTAGAGGAAAGGAAGAGAGGTTTGTTAATTTGTAGGCTTGCTTCAGAGGTGCTACATATTTCCTGATGAATAAGTTTGCTAAAGAAAAACATAACCAAAATGTGGCCATAGTATCATATTGAGAACAGCTGTTAACTGTTCCAGGTTGAAAGCAGAAAGGATAAAACAATAATTTGCTAACAGTCAATAGACACTAGCTATTTTATGGACATAAAATATTTTATCTACTTTACAAAGTAATATTAACTAAAAATATATCTAAAACCTATGAAATTATTTGCAACAAAAATTTTACTAATAAAATTTTCTTAATATTTCTCTTAGCAAAAATTGCACATTTGTGAAGAGTACCTGATACTTGTTAAAATATCAAGTACTACAGGGCAAGATGCTAGAAAACAAAACACACAGCTGGGAAGCGTTTTATTTTTTCTACTTCATATAACATTGTTCAGGACCACAAGATTTTAAAGGTCTCTTTCTCGAAACTTTTCTGATTTAAGAGTACCACTTAAAAATATTTACTGATGCTTTAAATATTACTGTTTTTTGTACAGATTGACGATTGTAATGAATGCCATATCCACTATACCTTTTGCTCCTTTGGTAAAAAAGGTAAACAGAAACTTTAAATTAGATGTTTGGTCATTCAAAAATGGTTTTTAAAAGTATACCCAAACAAACCAAATCTATATCAGCAATTACTAAAATTAGTTTTAGTAATTATTATTATTAAGAAGTCCTAATAAGGAAGTACTAAAGCATGTATAAGATTTTAAAAATTATATACAATTTAAAAAACAAATTTTAAAATTTAAATGAAAAAGATTTATGGCCAAATTAAAAAAAAGTTTGAGCATCAGAATTAATATCTTAATTTTTAGGCTATTCAGAAATATATGTTGTGAATAATAAGAATTATTTCATAAATATTATGTATAAATATAAATATATATCTACAGGATCTGAGATGCTAGAGAAAACACTTTAAAGAAAAAAACCTGCACTTTTAGATTATCAGGATGTTGTCAAATTACCCTTCAAGTAAAATATAATTATCAATCCAGGTGCTTTTGGCACAAGCTTTTAGGTGAATATTGACACAATCTTAAAAACACAATGCTTTTATATTTTATTCACTGGAATATGAAGAATCAAACAGAATTTAGAATTCTGAACGAAAATCCCAGATAACTGCAATTGCTTAATTAAATACAAAAAATATTGTTTTAAAAAGACCTTAAACCCTTAAACCTGTCTTTACATCTATCTGGAACATGTAAAATTTTATCAGCAATAGGTTTTCTCCAATTCCTTCAAGAAGAATTCCCAGCCTACACACAAATTTAACATTGTCTTTTCTATTCATGTATGACTTGGATCACACCCCAGTATATAAAGACAAAAAATAAATGTATAATAAAAAGATTGGATAAATCAGGAGAGGCTTTTTGGTCTTGAATTCTTCACCCACTAACAATGAAGCAGCACTGTAGGCAGCCCAAAACACACCAAACAGCTTAAAAAAAAAAAGACAAAAAGTATCATATTAGCAAATCAATTAACTTTTTGTATATCATAGAGCAAAAATAATGTTTACAACATTTTTAAAAATCAACCACCAATTGTGGCAAAATGTATTAAGAATGTTAAAAACTTAATAAGCATGTTCATCTTTGCTCTGCTACTTGACTTCTGTAAATCTGGTCTTTTCTTATCAAACCTGTCTAATCATAAGAATCACCTGCGGTGCCTACTAAAAAGAGACTTGGGGGACTCATTCTAGTTCTGCTGAATTAGAATTTCTAAGGGAAGGACCTAGTTATCAGTCTTTTATTTATTTCTAATTTTTATTTTTTTAGGGACAAGGTCTCACTCTGTTGCTGAGGCTGGAGTACAGTGGCACAATCACAGCACACTATGGTACTGAACTCCTGGGCTCAAGCAATTCTCCCACCTCAGCCTCCCCAGTAGCTGGGAATACAGGCAACATGCCACCACACTTGCTAATTTTTAAAAATTCTTGTCCAGGTCTTGAATTCCTGGCTTCAAGCAATCCTACTACCTCAGCCTCCTGAGTGGCCTGAATTATAGGCACCAGCAACCACACCTGACATTAGTTGTGAGTCTTTTAAACAAGTGTCTCTTATGATTGTGAACAGGCAACTTTTGAAAAAACTATTGTGCCAAATTGCTGAGAGAATACTAACTGATCCTGATAAAGTTGAAAGTTTTCCTTTTTATTGTTCCAAGAATTAGGAAAATAGATTAGGTGAAAATTTACACGATATTTATTAAGTGTCACAGTATATTCCCAGGAATAGGAGTCAAATAAAAAGGAGGAAAAAGGATCACATTTTGGCCAATCATGGTTTCTGATTAATTTTTTCTGAATAATTAATTTAGATTATTTCCATTGGAAACTTACTTTAGTACTAATTGATGTAGTCATTGAAGCCATTTTACAGCATAAAATTAAGGAAAGAACTTGAAGGGGAATCAGGGCAACTATAGTAGAAACAGATTTGGCACAGAGCAGGGTTTCTCAACCTTGCAATACTGACATTTTAGGCTAGATAATTCTTTGCTGTGGGGGGCTGTCCTATGCATTTTAGGATGTTTACCAGCATCTCTGTCCTGTACTCACTGCATACTAGTAAAACATCCCCCTGCCCCCAAGAATGCCTCCAGACATTGCCAAATATCCCTTGGATGGCAAAATTGACCTTAGTTGACAACCACTAGTATGGTTAAAAAACTAAATCATGCCTATAGTCCCAGCTACTCAGGAAACTGAGGCAAGAGGACCACTTGAGCCCAGGAGTTTGAGGCTGCAGTGAGCTATGATGACTCCACTGCACTCTAGGCCAGGCAGCAGAGCAAGACCCTGCCTAAAAAAAAAAAAAAAAAATTAGTGTCTACAGATTAGTCTTGCAACATAGTTTTCAAAAAACACTGGACTGACATAAGAAACATTACAATAGCTTAATACCCACAGACGATTTAGTGATTAGGAAAAAAATGTGGCAAAGAAAAATCTGAAGTTTAAAAACAATTTTATCCTAAATTTTTAATGTTATAAAAAAGATTTTTCCATATGGATTTTCCATTCATATGTTGCATAAAGAATATTAAAGTCCAACTTCCAGTTGAACTAGATGGCTAAAAATGACCTGAGACCAATAATTTTGGCTATTTTGGGAGTAGTCTCAGAAATACTCAAACAAACTTAACCCAAGTAAAACAACAGACAGCAGGAAGTGATCCTAAATGAGTGGTTATTTATATTACTAAGGCTAGAATAATTAAACACCAGCATGCTCCACTTATAGCTGATCCACTGTAAGACTTTTAAACTAAGTTCTAACAATGTCGATTTTTTAAAAAACAGATTTTAGGGTTAGGATGTACAGGAAAGCTAGATATTCTCAGTCTCTGAAGCATTCAAACAGTTCCAACTACAAAGATGATCTCAAAATATTCTTATATAGTATTTGTAATAACAGCTACCACTTGAGTGCCTGCTCTGTGCCAAGCACTGTATTAGGCTTTATAACAAACCTTAAAATGTAGTTATTAAGATTATCATTGTAAAGAACAAACTGAGGGTAAGAAAAGTTAAGATACCTCTGGAAGACCAGATAACAAGTAAATAGCAGAATCAGGGTTTGAATTCAGCATTGATTGGTTCTAAAAAACCACACTCTTTCAATACTCAGTGCTTATATATCAGTATTAGCTTATAGTTACTAAAATCTAAAAGGAATCATTATTTCTTTTATATTGAAATTAGTTATGAACATTAGTAAATCAAATCTCATAAAAATTAAGCGGCTCTGGCTACTTAAAAACAAGTACTTTAGTGTGGAGGCTACAAAATAGCAGTTCTATTTTCCATAAAGAAAAAAATTACAATCATTGTGTAATATGCACACATGTGCTAAAGCACTCATTTCCCAAAGTTGCTCAACATTAATAAATGCCAAAATTTAAGTTATATTACTATTTATTAATACTTAATATTAGCAGCAAATGTTTAAAATGTGTTTATATGTTATTTAAGTTAACATAAATATCATGAAGTAGTCCTGATTTCTGCATTATAGAAAATCCAATTTATTAGAATCATGTCTGTCATATTTGAGAAGAAAGTCATTCTCCTGAAACTTGATTTGCTCTGTTTTTCCCCCATAGACATACTTTATAATTTCTGGTGATTAAAAAGGAAAAAATAAAATAAATATAAATAAAATAAAATATAATATAAATAAAATAAAATAAATACAATTAGTAATATCAGTAAGGAAGATCATGTTCCAAAATACTACCAACAGTTTGATAAATAGTTTTAGATTACAATATTCTTAGCTAGAGGACTAGTATACTTTTACTATTGGAAAACAGTAAAATTACTTTATATAATACATACTACTTAACTTACTTTTATAAGTGTAGACACCACTTCAAATGAGCCAACCACCAAAAGTATAGGAGCTATTACAATGAGAGGAAGTAATGAATATCCTATAACTCCAAGAACTTGCCCATATGCAACCTGTGAATTTTGAAAATTTTAAATAAATATCTTAGAAATCAAATACTCATTTTCATCACTATTGAACATCATATACTCTTTGTTGTACTTCCACAAATGTGAGAATTAAGAAGAAATCATGAAGTATCATACTCATTACATTTCAAATTATCATATAGTCTCCCAAGTTCCTGAGCAGTCTTACTAACCACCATGGTTTCAATTATCATCAATTTGCTGATGTTACTCGAATCTACATTTCTAGCATTTATCTCTCTCTTGAGCTTCAGACTTATATATCTAATTAAATTCAGTATGTTTCTACATTACATTTTGTCACTACTTCTCTTAAATTGTAGCACGATTAAAGGAACCACAACCATCCTATTTGGATGAAAAATCCAAGGGTTAGAGAAGCTAGATATGACAAATACCAGAGGAAAGGGAGGGCAGCCAAGAGAGACTGAAGAGAAAAATACTTTTTAGTGATTATCATGTGCCAAGCTCTATGATAGGGTTTCTTATGTTGTGAAGATCAAACGAAATAACAACCCTATGAAGTAGGCATTATTGTCCCCATTATGAAGAAACTGATTCTTAGAAGAAAAAAACCACTTTGCTCAGGAAAGCAAACCTGGTAGGTGACAGAGTTCTAATTAAAATCTAGGTCTCAGGCCGGGCACAGTGGCTCACACCTGTAATCCTAGCATTCTGGGAGGCCGAGGTGGGCAGATTGCTCAAGGTCAAGAGTTCGAAACCACCCTAAGAGAGACCCCCATATCTATTAAAAATAGAAAGAAATTAATTGACCAACTAAAAATATATATACAAAAAATTAGCCAGGCATGGTGGCGCATGCCTGTAGTCCCAGCTACTCCGGAGGCTGAGGCAGTAGGATCGCTTGAGCCCAGGAGATTGAGGTTGCTGTGAGCTAGGCTGACTCCACGGCACTCACTCTAGCCTGAGCAACAAAGTGAGACTCTATCTCAAAAAAGAAAAAGAAAAAAAAGATCTAGGTCTCTAGGACACTGACCAGGTAGCAAAAATAAATGAATGAATGAATGAATGAATGAATGAAGAAAGAAAGAAAGAAAGAAAGAAAGAAAGAAAGAAAGAAAGAAAGAAAGAAAGAAAGAAAGAAAGAAAGAAAGAAAGAAAGATTGATTAAAAAAAATAATAAGATCTAGGTCTCTCTCTCTTTTTTTTTTTTTTTTGAGAAAGGGTCTCACTTTGTTGCCTGGGCTAGAGTGCAGTGGCATCATAGATCACTGCAACCTCAAACTCTTGGACTCATGCAATTCTGGGTCAGCCTTCCAGATAGCTGGGACCACAGGCACGTACCACCAGCTAATTCTTTATTTTTTGTAGAGATAGGGTCCTGTTATGTTGCTCAGGTTGGTCTCAAAGTCCCAGCCTCAAACAATCCCCCTGCCTTGATCTCCCAAAGTACCAGGATTACAGGTGTGAGCCACTGCACCCAGCCAAGATCCAAGTCTGTTAACTCCTATATCAATAGTCTTAAATTACAGAAAAATTCAGTAATATCTATTTTCACATAAATATTATATTAGATTTTATCTAGGATATAAGAAACTATAAATATACTTTTAAGTATCTATTAGAATTATTTAAAATTTCCATATGCACAGTGAAAAAGTTTCATAGATTTTACTCTAAATTTATTTAAGAATTTTAGGTTAAGATTTTGGATTAAGCATATATATCTAATATCATTCCCTCCTGAAACTACACTACTAAAAGGGAAGGGAAAAAACAACTCCTTTGCTTTTTTTTTTATAAAGAGAAGGGGTCTCACTATGCTGTCCAGGCTGACATCAAACTCCTGGACTCAAGGAATCCTTCTACCTCAGCCCCCTGAGTAGCTAGGACTACAGGCATGTGCCACTGCACCTGACAAAACTCCTTTTCATAAGATGGCATAAACAGGAGAAGAACAGGAGACAGGACAACAGCAACATAATTTTGGAAGCTGGAAAACAAATGAACTAGAAATAAGTTACAGACTTGGCATGGCTTTCCATCAAGTATGCGAAAGGATTCAAAGTTTCTGTATTTAGCATTTAATATTCACAGTTGGGCCGGGCACGGTGGCTCATGCCTGTAATCCTAGCACTCTGGGAGGCTGAGGTGGGAGGATCGCTCAAGGTCAGGAGTTCAAGACCAGCCTGAGCAAGAGTGAGACCCTGTCTCTACTAAAAATAGAAAGAAATTAATTGGCCAACTAAAAATATATAGAGAGAAAAAGTTAGCTGGGCATGGTGCCTGTAGTACTAGCTACTTGGGAGGCTGAGGCAGGAGGATCGCCTGAGCCCAGTAGTTTGAGGTTGCTGTGAGCTAGGCTGACGCCACGGCACTCTAGCCTGGGTGACAGAGTGAGACTCTGTCTCAAAAAAATAAATAAATAAATAAATAAATAATAATAATAATATTCATAGTTGCCCCTAAGCCAGTACCCGTATCATAACTCTCTCTGGCATAGCCTCTGCTTTACTCTCTACACAAAATAAAATCCTAGAATTCCCAGGTTTACAGCAATTAATAAAGTCGTATATTAAAACAACAGTTCTCAAGTATGACCTGTGGACCTCTGGAGATTCCAAAGAGTCTCCCAGAAGACTGTAAGGTCAGAACTATTTTTTATAATAGTAATAAAACATTATTTTCCTTTTCATTTGCTTGATATTGGTATTAAAATAGGGCACAGGCAATGGTGGTAAAACTGCTATTGTATTAGCACAAATAAAGGTATCACAAACTATACCAGAAGTAAGTATGTTCTTTACCACCACATATTCACAGAAAAATAAGCCAGTTTCACTTAAGAATTTCCTAAATAAAGCAGTAAAAATGCTTAATTTTATTAAATTAAACCTTTGACTATATGTCTTTTTAATATTCTATGTGACAAAAATGGGAAGTCACAGAAAGCATGTGTGTTATCCCAAGGACATCACTTGTACAAATGTTTCAGTGAAGAGTTGAAGAAAATGGTTTTTCCATGAACACCATTTTTACTTGAAGAAAAACTGACGTACAATCTATGGTTACTCAGGCTTGGCTATGGTAAGCATGTCCTTGAAATAAAGTGAGCTTGTTGCTACATTGAAAACAACTGACAATCTTTGTCACAAATGTTAAAATTCTAGCTTTCAAGTAAAAATTACAATTTTGAAAAACTTGTATCCCCCACTATAAGTTTGATAGTTTTCCAAAATAGGCTTTTCTAATGAGACAGATGATTTTTTTTTTTTTTTTTTTGAGACAGAGTCTTACTCTATTGCAGAGGCTAGAGTGCTGTGAACTCTATTGCCCAGGCTAGAGTGCTGTGGTGTCAGCCTAGCTCACAGCAACCTCAAACTCTGGCTCAGGCAATCCTTCTGCCTCAGCCTCCTGAATAGCTGGGACTACAAGCATGCACCACATGCCGGCTAAGTTTTCTATATATTTTAGTTGTCCAATTAATTTCTTTCTATTTTAATAGAGACAAGGTCTTACTCTTGCTCAGGCTGGTCTCGAACTCCTGACCTTGAGAATCCTCCCGCCTCGGCCCTCGCGAGAGTGCTAGGATTACAGGTGTGAACCACCATGTCCGCCCAGGTGGTGATATTAATGAATGTGATTTTTCTGATATTATATAATAAATATATCAACATTTGGAATATCTGCAAAACAGGGAACTATGTTTTCTAAATGACCAATGCATGATGTTACAAAACCATACATGGGTAAAAAAAGATCCATTCAAAGTGAATTTAATTAAACAGTATGAAAAGTTCATTCATATGGTTTGAGATTCCTCACTGCAACAAACCTTTAAGAAATACTAATTGTTGAGTTTTGGCTAGTATCAGAGAAGAATATTAACAACCATCTTAAAGGCTATTAAAATACTCTCCCTTTCCAATTTATATAATATATCTGTGTGAGGCCTTATTTTCCTCATATACTTTAAACAGAACAATGTATCATAACACACTGTATGGATTTAGAATACAGCTTCCATTAATCCAGACATTAAGCTACTTGAAAAATGTAAAAATGCTACTCTTCTCACAAACTTTTTTGTTTTGGAAAATATAGTTATTTTTCTTAAAGTGTATTGTTTATGTTAAAATGTAGGTGGTTTATTGTAAGTTTTAAATCAATAAATTTTTTACATTATTTTAATTTCTAACACAATGAATACTGACAAATAGAACCTACATAAAGAAATCTCTTTGACAACTTGAGATCAAAAGTTTGAGAACTGTTCTAACAGAGAATAAATTATATGGTTCCCTAAAAATCTATAAATTACTTGATAAGTGCATGGGATCTTTTCTTTCCTCTTCATTTCTTATAACATTATTGAGTAACCATAATACTAATATGTTGATCATCTTAAAGAACTAACATAATTAAAAGCAATTCTGGACAAGAAACAGTTATAATGAGCATAGCTAATGATGGTATTTGCACTACCAAAAATTAGGTGTATCATAAAAATGAAGAGTATTTTCAAAATTAACTACTTACTTCTCCACCAAGAACTCTGGCCAGTAAGAAAATGTTAGTGAACCAAATATCCAAATGGTTATAATCCATGAGACCACCTTAAGGGGAAAAAAATCATATAGTTAATATTTTGTACCAAATAAACAGATAATTTTCCAGGAACTCAAATCTTGCCATAGAAGACAGTTTGGCATGATCAATTTCATTCATAGAGAGGCTATATGGGTTCTCAGATATCTTTCCCAAACTTAATAAGAATACAATGTGAATACAATTTTATAATACATCCATAATTGCCTAAAGAACCCTAAGTATTTCAAGATCTATGATAAAAGATTATTACAAAAAAGGAACAAAGTGTTACTACCAAGCCCTGGTTTATAGCATCCTGCAAGGAAAATTTATTCCTGACATAAGTTACCAACCTTCTCTGGAATCTTTAAAACTTGTATTAATATTTACCCATGTAATAGAATATGGAAGAATTTCAGATAATTTTAATTCCT